CATCTGGGGAATGGACCATCTTCTTCACCGACTACAGAGATGTGTCATTTAGCATGACTCTCTGCGCCGCAGACCCCGCCGTTCAGCATGCCGAAGTGATGGCCACGAGACCGGCACTCGTGGCCGAGCTTGGTGAGCCCCTCTGCGACCTGGCTCCCATCCCAGCGGAGGCATGACACAGACGCGATCCAGAAGCAGCTCGGCGTGCTTAACTCGAGCACGACGACTTTGCCAGCCCAGCGCGGCATCTTCAGCTTCTCCAAGACGTCCGGGCCGTGGGAGGCAGAGCGGAACATCACGGCTCTCAGCGGGTGGAGTGACACCTCGCAGCACTCGGCCAACGGGGTCTCGGCCGACCCTTTCTGGCTTCAGTCCTTGGCGCAGATCGACTTGCCCTCGCCGCCGTTCGAGAATGAAACGATGAACAGCGCCGCCATGTGCAGGCTCTGCAGCGCACACTGGAATGACTCTCAACCTATCGATCTCTTGCTGGTCGATCTCTTCCAAAACACCATCAAAAACACGGAAAGCGTGGCTCTCAGGCTGCAGGCTGTTCTTACTCGAACCTTTGCCACGGTGTACTACCAGTTTATCGACTATTTTGACGCCGAAACCCGCGCTGAGACTCGGTCCGTCGTTCCCGTGGATAAACCGACGAGCCCGAGGTTTTTTACCGTGGTAGTTGTGCTGCTCTTTATACACTTATTGCTCGTCACCATGACCACCGTTTTGTTTGCCCTTAATGCGGATGATGCGGGTGTTCTTGGAAGAAGCTCTTGGGCGGCAGTGGCACAGGTTTATGGCTCTGAGACGGATAGGTGGCTGGCCGTGGCTACTCACACAGGCTCGGATAAGGAAATAAAAAATATGATGGCTGCTGTGGGCGAATCGCATGTATTGATTGGGTCTGAGAGTGTGGATGGCCAGCTGCGGCTTCGTCAGAGTTGTAAAATAGAATGAGATTTTACCAGCAAAAAGCTCACCGACTCGTCAGCCGGCTACGAAAAACCCCTCTCGGTCGACAAGGTTCAGGAGCGATGTTCAGGCCCCGTCGGGCGTTACTAGTCGCGCGTTACTACTCGCTGCGTTGGGGGGTTTTTGCACTCCCCCGAAGGGGAGTCGAACTGACGACCAAGGTTTACCCATAGTCGACAGTTACATCCCCCCCCAACTCCGCCAGTTGGCCTCCTCGCTGGGGGGGATCGGTGCTGAGGTGTCTGGAAAGGTCAATTATATCCCTGGGTTGGACATGTGATCTGCTCGCGGGCAGGTGGCAGTTAGGGCTACCCATACACTCAGCCCTCGAGCCGGCAGGATCAGAGCTCGTCCACCTTATCTTGTCAGTGCTCGTGTTGGTGTTCTGGTACCATTGTCTTTAAAATTAACGTCATATTCTCACCGTGACACCCACCACCCGGAACAAAAGCTCAACCATCCACTCCCAACCACATGTCCCATCCTTGACATCAAACTTCAAAGTCTATCCCGACAGTGCCAGAGCAACCGCCCCTGGCCGCAAGGGCCAGTGAGGCTCAAGAGCGATGTCTTTCCCGACCCAGCAAAGGTCAGCCGTGAGACCGAAGAAGGGGTGTTTCGGAGGATGCTGCGGGGTCAGCAGAGGCACGGCAGTCATAAACCGAAGATGCGGTGCCCATCTGGTACTCGGCCGAACAGGATCGATCGATTCTACTATTGACCTTGACGTCGACCGTGATCTTGAGCCATTTCACCACGCTGACGCCACCTGCCTAGTTTCTACCAGACACCCGTGGCGTGCCTTCCCACGCGGCTACCTCCCCACTTACACAACCAAGGTGACGCCACTTACCTCACACTCAGGGTCTCTATTCAGGCTGCCGCCCATTTTGAGTTTAGTCAGACCTTGGCATGAACGGGTTCCAAAGGTAGTACCTACCCGACGTAGAGCAATGTGAGCTTAAATCCTAAAACGACAGCAAGCTGTACCACCAATTGTCGTCTGGCCCCACTGTTGCAGCATTATCTTTCCTCCCCCCACCCCCGCTTGTTGCAAAGTGATTGTAATGGCCGACGTTTGTACGCACCTATTTACCAGGAACCTCAACCCGCCCAGTCCCATATTGGCTTGCTGCTCCAACATACCCCTCTCCCAATACTATCACGACCTCCTCTGCTCAAACAAGCCCTCCACGGCCCCCAGACTCTCCCACCCCAACATCTCGGCCCCGCTCGCCAGCAACGCCCACAACTCCTCCATCGACGCGCCGTGATCAATCCCACCCCCGCCCAAGCTCAGCCCGACCGCCATAGCCCCAGCAACAAACGCAACAGCAAGCGTGACCCATGCAGCCGCATCATCCGCAACCAAACTCCCACTCGGCTGCCGAAACTCGACCGTCCCGCGCACCGTCTGCCCGCCCGCCCCCCCACTCGAAGCCGACAACATACCGGTAAAATCCCACTTGTACACCTTCCCCCTCACAAAATCCCGCACCTTGCCGTGGGCGCGGCCGTACGCGCTAGCCGCGGGGAACAGGTTGACCACCTCGACGACGGGGCGCACGGCCCCCGCCGCCTCGGCCGCATCCACCGCCGCCAGGCAGTCGCCCAGTGACGCCAGCCCGCGCAGCCCCGGGCTCGCGCGGTTCGACTGGCACCAGTATGCGGCCGAGCCGCGGCGGGAGGCGGGGACCAGGCGGTCCAGGGCGGGTTCGTAGTAGAGCGCGGCTTTGGCGAGGGCGGCGAGGCCCGAGGCCGAGAGCGGGTGCGGCGTGCTGCTGATGTGGACGTGGGTTGAGCAGTTCGGGGAGGGGACGAGGGTGAAGGAGGCGTGCAGGGTGGTGAAGATGGTGGTTAGGTCCGAGGCCCAGTAAGTGTGGATTGGGTAGACTGGGGAGACGAGCTCGAGGCCCCCTTTTTTTACCCAAGTGTCAGTATTATTGTCTAGAGGAAAAGGGAGGGAGGGGGGGGGGGGGGGGGGGCGGACAGAGGTTCTTGGCCGGCTGGTTGGGGATGGTAACTTCTTGCACGATGGACCACTCGCGGTAGTTATCGGGCGACTTGTCGTTGGTCTCGTTGATGTGGTTGGCGATGCCGGCCTTGAGGAGCCGCTTGCTCACGTCCTTGGCGAGGGCTTTCCAGTTGGGGTGGGCCTTCTTGCGGCTGCCCATCAACAGTTCGATCTCGACGCCGAACTGGAACGAGTTGGGGGCTTCCATCTTTGCTGCCGAGGTTGATTGAGGGAACGATGATGAGCTGTGGCCGGTCCGGGTTCCCTTGCTACGGTTGTCGGGACTGTGTATCCACACAGAGCCGAGGTTCGGAGGCCTTGTGTAATCTACCCTCGAATTTATAACGAGGGTCACATCCTGGTCTTATCTTTGTCAGAGCCAACGGGCGACACTAATAGGTCTCTCGCCGCCGGCACAAAAAAGCTCTCAGGCTTCATCTCTGGGATGTTGGCTGATCACACAATAGTTTGGTTATCTCGTTGACCGCCGTCCAGTCAAGCCATGCTGGTCCTCCCATATCGAGACACCACCGCGTGACGCCGAGCAGCCGACTGCTGATGGTTGACCTGTCACTTATGCCGACTTGACGGAAGCCTATCTTTCTCTTCAGACCTCTCACCTTCCGGACTGGCGAGACACCTGAGGGCCTTGGCATCCTGATGGTCGGGGTGACTTCGTGTGGCACCCCTGGACGATCCCCATACGGCTTCGTGGACCATGAGAGGGATCCGAACCATTGGCAACCATACACACACGCCATCGTTGACACGCTAGTGGCGAAATCAAACGCCGACGGCGTCTCGCAGGGGGTTCTCTGATTCCTTGGGGCTAGGTATGTACCCAAATATGAAAGGTATTGAATAGCTACCTAGGCCCGATACAAGCTGTGTACTCTCTACAAGACCTTTGGGTCCGAAAATGGGGATAAGGGTTGAAGAGAAGACATGATGAGTACAGGTGCTGAAAAGGATGAAAAGGGGGTGAACTTGGCCGAGCCGCGAGAAGCCCCTGAAGGCGCGTATCTTGATGGGAGGGAGGTATTCCCGGCAGGCAATCGTGAGACTACGTCAAGCTCAAGCCGTCTGGTTACCACACCGGAAAGGCTTCCTGACGAAGTGAAGGCTCCTGCTACGCACGATGAAGGCCGCCATATGGTACCAAGCCTCTCGCTCGGCCTGGCTCGGCCGCATTAGCTGGGGGATGGTGTGGCGGCCGCCGGAAAAGGGGGAAAAGGGACCAATCACGCAAGGCTGCCCGAGGCGACTATGCACGGCGGCTGTCACACAAACACGTCCTATCGGCAACCGCGACAGCTCAAAGAGCGCCGACACCCACCCACACCACGCCGCAGAGCCGCAACCGAGTCTCCAGCAGCCTCAGACGTGGGATCATGCAGAAGGCGAGGCCCATGCTGTCTGCCCCATTGTCCAGAAATCCCGGGGCGTCCGTTGGTGTGATTGGCGATAGCCGCCCCGTCTCGACAAACTCCCCACGTTGGGAAGGGGGGGCGCAGTTGGCGGAGACAGGGAGGAGGGGGGGGGGGCGCTGATTCTGTCAGAAATCATCGTGGGACGGGCTCTTTTAAGCGCTGAGGAATCAACCCAGGCCTGGCCGGGATCGACGAGCTTAGCCTCGCGATCAGACCCTCCCGAGGGACGAAGCGCCAATATCAGCCCTCCGTTATGGGCACTGGGGCCGGGCTCCCGGACACACGAACCTGCGGCATCTAGACACGCACCACTCAGCCAGCTCCTCGCCCAAGACGCGGCCGTAGTGAAACATTAGCCGGGGTGGCTATCTTTAGGGAGCGGATTGCTGTGGAAGGAAGCGCTGGACTCCGATCCGGGAACGAGACGATGGGGATTGTGACGCTCGCACAAGGGAGCTGAGCCCTTGCCATTGTGTCTTGCGGTTTGTGTGGTATTTCGACAAGGGTAGTGTGAAAGATTGGCCTGAGACCGGGATAACGGACGAGCAGCAAGTCCAGAAACAATCAAAACGCAAAAAGAACTCTCCCGCCGGGATTCGAACCCGGGATTCGGACGTCTGAGAGCATGCGTTGACAGGCCCCCGTGCTGACCACTATATACTACGGAAGATGAGTTGTTTTTTTATCAAGAAGATATTAGACGGTTGTGCCATATGAACCGTGAGGGATTACGAGTCCTGGAGTGAGAAGAGGCTGTTGTAGGAGTGAGTCACGCCGCCAGGGGAGGTGAGCCATCATGGTAGCCCCCAGATCCTTCGGTTGTCTGAAATTACTCACTTTCAGCCTGGCTCCGTGGCAGCAAATCAAGGAAGGCTTGGTCCTGAGCGCAATTTGCTGTTCATTTTACGGGCACAATGTAGTGGGTGTCACGATGAAGAGAATACCCATGGACTGATCGATGAAGATCCACATGTGGCGTACGAGTTGACAGCTTCACATCACAAGCGGTGGGAGGACACTGGAAGACCTCACTTCCATGGTATATTGATCATTTAGAATGGAATTACAACTGGGTTGCCTGTCGTGGTAGGTGTCGTTTGCCATTCTTCAGAGAATGAGCTTGGTATTTGCACTTACCGATATGAGGTGAGGGCTCAAGCAAAGAATTTCCCTTCTCAATCACTTACTACTCATAGATCCTGGGGTAGCCCACGATTTGTTGTGTCATTTTGCTGGCATGCTGCCGATTTGTCCCGACTTACAAGTTGTGCAAACCTGAGCACCCCCACAGATGCTGGCCCCAAATCACAACCACCCGTGCTGAGGAACTTGGCGCTCAGTTTTTGTAAAATGAAAAGAAAAATGGACGAGGAAGGCGAATCAACAGCCCTCAGGCTAACCTGTCGCGCTTTCGAGTGTCGAATTCCTGTCTGACCATGAGACACAAGCTGCGGGTCTCACACCGCGACCGTTGACAAACAGTTGCGCAATTAGACCGGGGCAACTCACTTTGCACCCAGGTATCATTCAATTTATTTCTCTGCTCGTTCGCTATAAATCTACCTAGTTTTGCACCACGCTGTCCCACTACCGCCGCAGACGGCCCCGGGCCCGCCGAAAGCCACCCGACCTCGAGCGCCGTAAGCCCGATTTGGAACCCCGCACGCGCGCCGAGGCCGTGGACGGCCGCCGGGTTCCCTCCCTGCCAAGGCTTTACATTATTATTAATGCCACCCCATGCCTCGCGACAACAATTGGAACGCTCGCAACCCCGCCGTTACACGGGCGCCTCCTCTTACCCCTCCACCACCCCTCCAACCCCACAAACAACCCCCTCCATCGTCAACGTCACAAAAATCGCGCCCCATCGCCGATTCCACACAAACACCCACACAAACACCCACACAAACCCAAAGCAATCCCTCAGCCACCCCGCTTAGGAAAAGAAAAGAAGGAAAAAAATGGCTGACCCAATCCTCATCACCTCCCCCGCGCAGCTCACGGAGCTCGCGGCAGCCCACAAGTACGTGCTCATCGACTTCTGGGCGACGTGGTGCCCCCCCTGCAAAGCCATCGCGCCAATGTACGCGCAGCTGTCCAAGAAACACTCGGTCCCCAACGGGCTCGCGTTCGCCAAGGTGGATGTGGACGAGACGCCGGATATCGCACAGGAGTACGGGGTGACGGCGATGCCGTCGTTTGTGATCCTGGTGGACGGGAAGCCCGAGGGGGTGGCGATCGCCGGGGTGAGCGGGGGTGGGGCGGTGCTAGGGGAGGGCGGCAAGGTGAAGATGCTGCGGGGGACGGATCCGCGCAACTTGAGTCTGATTGCGAGCGGACTGGGGGAGTTGGCGAAGCCCAAGGAGGATGCGGAGGCGCCGTTGAAGGTGGATGAGGATGTGAGTTGGCGCGCGTTGACGGTGTGGTGGGGACGAGAGAGTACTGACCTGAGGATAGTTTTGAACGTGATGCGACGCGACACAACAACAGCAACAACAACAACAACGGATAATGACGGTACCTGGGGGGCCATCGAGGGAGGGTAGATAATGTGGGAATATGGACGAAGACACATGCGAGGTTGTCAAGACAGAAGGCGAATACCCTTCTATTTTCCGCGCATCTGGGATGCCTTGAAACAGCGGACTTGCGATCCGAACCCCGTGTCAACCAAGGATTCCTCAAAGAACAGACAACTACTATCAACTACTATGTAGACACGCCCAATTGAGCACCAATCAAGGCTGACAATGCCGCCATCAATAATACTCGGTAACAAAACACTGCCGGTTGCTATGCGCCTGGAGCCGCATGCCTTGGTATCACGTAAGAACAAAAAACATCGCCACCCCTGATCCAGAAGAAAGTGACCAACACCCATGCTATGCCTGTGCGGTATGCGCACCAATGCTCCTCCATCATGATGCAAAAGCGCCGTAGTAACCAATGCCAACACCCCAGCACAAGCCATGCATATTGTGTACAGCCCGCTTGCCTATATACGCAAAAGAATCACTCGTCCACGAGCACACCGCACCTCCCACAACTCAGCCTTTGCCTCCCTGCGATCTTCCTCGCCTTGAACTCGCGCCCACCGCACTTCTCACACGTCATCTCCTCACCATCCCCCTCCCGCTCCTCCTCCTCAATATCCCCACTGAGCTCCGAGCTCAACCGGCTCGAGTTCCCCCGACTCCAAAGATGGCGGTAGGGCGACCCATCGCGCTTCATGCGCAAGTGATTCACCCCGGAATGATGGCCTCTCTCTTCCTCAGGGAGGTTGATCGTCGGAATAGACTGCCCATCCGAATCAACAAGGGGTCCCTGACCGTCGAGCGAGAGCGACCCAGCGTGGTGGGGGAACGACTGTCGACGACGGGACAGGTCGCCTTCCTCGGCGGCCTGGCTGTGGGATATGCCCGCGCCGACACTCTGTCTGCGAGTGGCCTTCTCCTTCTCCCTGTCCCGGCTGGCTTCCTTTTCCCGCTCTCTCTCGTCCATCGCCCCGTCCATCCGGGATCTGGACAGCAGACTGCCGCTGCTTAGGGCTCGTGAATGCCCGCCCGTCTGCCCCTGGCTCGACGAGCCGGCTTTGAAGCCCGTGATGCCGCGCCAACGGTTCAGGTTCCAGAAGGACGACGATTGGCTTGTCCCAGATTGATCGAGGGGCTGCGCTTGGTCATCCTCCTCTGCTGCCGGGCGGAAGATGAAGCTCGGAGCCGGGATAGAGGGAACGCCCTCCTCTTTCGGCTTGTTCTTGACGTCCCCGCGCTCGTTGTCCTTGACCGGCCGAGGGGGAATAGTTCGGGGGGTTATTGCTAAACACGCTTGCTGTCGGGCTCGTCACGGTGCTATCAGCACGAGCCATGGCAGGCGAGGACCCGGCATAGGGCTGCCTTCGCGCGTCGCTTGCGAGATTCGCCGCGCTGGAGCCGAGGGGCGTCCGATTCGCCTTGGTAGGGCTGGCCGACCGCTCGCTGCGCGTAGGTGTGCCGCCTCCGTTCATCATGGAGTTCGCCCGCTTGTCGCCGCTATATTCAATACTCTGACGCCAGCTCAGGATGCGATCCGAATTCGCAGATACAGGAATAAGCTGCGGCGATGCAAGCGCGCTGGAACCTATCGACTGGCTGAGCGAGCCCCTTCTGCTGTGTGCGGCGCTGCTGGCACTCGTCCGAGTAAGGATACTAGCGCTTCGTCCGAGACCGCTACCCATGAAGCTTCCGTGAGCTGTCAGCTTCCGGCTGAGCGTGCTGCCCGTCTCCCAGTTCTCGTGCTTTCGCTTGGCAAAAGCGCAATCTTGGCGGAAGACTTTGATGATGCCCGAGTCGTCCGTAGTGACAATAATATTGCCATCATAATGCGTCGACCTCGCAATGTACGCCGGGCTGGGTTCCGGCCTATTGAGTGGTGGTGGCGGCGCCTCACTCAGGACAGTTTGGCTCTCGGCCGCACTGGCTTCTTCCCCAAGACTCCGGAGCACGACGGGCGGCGGGTTGCAGAGGTCGTAGATTGGGTCGCCGCTCTGGCCGAGGAGCATCCTCGTCTTGGTAGGAGCGAACAGAGAAGTTGTCACCATATCTCCGTGTGCCTCAAAGTATTCGCAGGGCGACTTGTCCTTGTCCTGCATCGCAGCCACATTGCCATTGAGGCTCCAGATAAATGCTTTCCTGTCCTCGCTCCCGCAAACAACGTAGTTTCCGTCATCCGAGAAGCTTGCGGCGATCTGACTACACGCATTATCGTGGCCCTTCAGCTTGACGTCAAGGGTCTTGTCCCGCAGATTGTATATGCGGATGCGGCTGTCGTTGGATGTGATCAGAACTCTCACATCGCTATAGGCTGCAGCGTCTGTGGAGGCTCGAGAGGCCGAAGAGCTGGCGGTTTGGGAGGGAGCGAAGCCAGCCGAGCCTGGTGACGCCATGTTCATCGCCTGAATGCTAGTTATCTTGCTTCCCTTGGCGTTTTTGCCCCGAGACGAGCGCACGTGGATCTGGCTCTGAAACTTTAACCCCTCCGTCTCAAAGAAGAGGCAGAGACCGTTGAGAAGCCCGGCAATGGCGGTCTTACCATCCGGGGAGAAGGCTACAGCAGTGACAAGATCGGGCAGCTGAGCGGAGAAAGCAATCGTCTTGTCGGGAATGCTCCACAGCCGCAGCATCGTGTCTAGCGAGCCAGCAAGGAAGAAGCGGTCGTCCCGAGGATGGAACGCCAGTCTGGTGACAAAATCTTTGTGCTTGAAGGTGCAGAGACACTCGGTCCTACTGATATGCCACAACCGAACCGTCTTGTCCATCGAGGACGACAGCAAAAAGTTGTTTTTGCTCCAGCTGAGATCGAGGACCTCACCCGTGTGCCCCTCAAACTCGCGCACCGGTCGACCCCTGAAGACAGGCGCACTAAGCCTCTCTCCAGTGCCGCCATTAGCGGCTTCCTCCCCTTCGCAAGCCCGGCGCTCCTCCGGCGTCGAGATGACAGCCCATATCCTCACCACATGGTCCCTTCCCGCTGTGGCAAAGTACCTCCCGTCCTTGCTGAACTCGGTAGCCCAGATGGCGCCTCCTGTTTTGGCGACCTTCCGCCCATTGGGCCCTGCAATGGTAACGGTAACGAGCGGGGGCTTGCCAACATCTGGTACTATTTCGTCATCACTGTTCTTGGGTGGCTGTG